GTGGTTTGCATTTGGATGATAAGGAACGAACAGGAAGGGAGATTTTTTCTGCCAAATCTGTATAATGAACATCACAATGTTTTGATTTAGATATTCTGCGGTCGAAAGACGATAAGCGAAATTTTTAATTTTTAATTTTTAACTTGAGTGATTTAATGTAGTTTTCGTAAAATTTTCTCTAAGAAATGTTTTGAGGAATGAAGAGTATTAAGTTAACAGTGATAGTGATAAAAAAAAATACATAAGAAAACGTTACCAAGAGCGTTTTTTTTGAGAATCAAACAGGATAGGACGAAGTTGCATCCATAAATAGACCCAATTTGGGGACAATAGACCGATATTACATACATTTCCCTGGTGAGTTTTTGTCTTAAAAAAAGTAAGTTTTTCAACTTTTTGCGGTTCCTGATAGCAAACGACATGATAAGCATATCTAAGCATACCATTTAGCAGTAGAATATCGTTTGCAGGTAAATTAATTGATGAGTTATGATTAAAAACGTAATCTATGGCTGCATATTAGACCGAGGTTAGGGACGTATACCCTATATATGAATAGTTTAAAGAATGGTGATAGCTTCAAAAAGCTTCAAGGTAAGAAATGCTATATGATTTGAATGATTTCTTAGCTTATAACGTTGTTAAAAGCATATTTGTTTCATGCCACAAATTTGAGCCCCATAAATACATTTTAAAAAATGGGTACTTTTTTACCCAGTTACGGAAAACAATGCGTTCTGGAAATGGGTAAAAAGTACCCCATGATTTGACGTATAAGCTCTTTACCCATTAGTGGGTAAAGACGTTTTACCCATTTTATGAGTTTACCTACTTTACCGCGAAATGGGCACTTTTTCACCCATTAATGGGTACTTTCCAGTTACAGTGTATCTCTCGCTCTGAGAATTTCTAGTTCTGACATGATAATTATAGAGATGTGACCCGATATAAGAGATGTGATCAATAAAAAAAGACGATATTAGTGATTTAAGCTTGATTATATCGGATAAAATCGATCAAATGGATTTGTTCGAATATAAATCAATTCATCGAACTTCAATGTATTTTTGGCAAAAACTTTAATAAATCTGAGACTTTCGTTCCCCTCGGTTTCTTGGGTTTCAACATTCTAAATCTATGATTCTACTCCGTCCCTCTGCTCGTTCTTCTGGCTACGTACACCGAAAATAGTTTTCATGTAGCTTCCATTGGAAACGCACATGATTTTCATCCATCATCAAAATTAATGGAATTCATCTGAATTTCACATAACATTTATGCGATCACATTAATTTTATATGATTTTTCATATGAATTTCATGGACTTCATAATATTCATATGATTTTGTGGTGGGATTTGCTGCTATGTGATCATAGCCCGAAAAAAAAATTATAATATAACAATGAAATTACAATGATTTTTACTGTTGAATTTTGAGTACATTAAAGTTTATTGTTAAATTATTGTATGGGAGAAAAAATAGATTTCGATTTTGAACAATAAAATGCTCTAACAACGAAAATTAGTGTGATGAGATCAAATTTGTTCACTTTTTTATGTTGTTAAGATCCCCCTTTTTACTATAAATTTCTCAAATACCATGATTTTCATTGTTGTGAACCATGAATTTCGTTGTGATTTTATGGTAATGGACAAAAATGTCCAATGTTTTGACAGTAAATATCATGGTTACAATGACAATGAAAATCATTGTATTTTTATTGGATTTTTTTACGGGAGGAAAGCTATGTGAAAATCACATGGATTTCATCCATTAGATATATGATAAATTTTTTGAGTGTAGTGATTGCAGCACCGAGTAGTCCTAGAGGATCGAATAAACTGGCGATCACTGACAGAACTTCCCTTTTGGTTGGTTGGTGTGATGCATTCCAACCCGGAATGGTAAATTGAAACTTCAGTTGATCGGAAGTAGGCATCCAAGTCAACCCTAGAGTTTTTACAGTCGGGTCAGGGTCCAGATTAATCCCTTCCGAAATTCGAATAGCCAGATTGTCCTCGGAAATGCTTTCCAATGCTGCTTGATGGTTTGATGCCCATTTCCGAAGCTTGAAACCTCCTTTGGAAGTCATCTCGTTGAGTTGCTTGCATAGCTCCCTTGCGTTTTCGACCGTATCCGCTCCTGTGATAATGTCATCCATATACGTATCCTTCGTGGCTGCCCTTGCAGCCATTGGGTACTGTTCTTCTTCATCCATTGCAAGCTGGTTTAATGTACGCGTTGCCAGAAAGGGCGCAGGTTTCGTTCCATACGTGACAGTGTTGAGTTTGTACACGCCTACCGGTTCCAACGGATCGAAGCGCCATAGAATGCATTGGAGTGGCCTATCCACCTGTAGAACAAAGATTTGCCGGAAAATCTTCTCTACATCGGCTACCAGCATGATTATCTTGACGCGGCTCCGGAGCATGATAGATCGTAAGTCCTCCTGTACAATCGGTCCTACCAGCAGAGCGTCATTGAGCGAAACGCCGGACGACGTCTTGCATGACGCGTCGAATACCACACGGACCTTAGTTGTGATGCTGGCCTCCTTAATTACCGGATGATGTGGCAGATAGCATCGTTTTTCGAGATCAGCCGTGTCCTCTATCTTCGTCATATGCCCTAATCGGATGTATTCCTCCATGAACTGATGGTACTGTTCTCGCAGACCAACATCCCTCGCTAATCTATGTTCTGTGCCTTGAAGCCGCTGGAATGCGATGTCCCGTGACTCGCCCAACCTGGAAATTGCGTCTTCGTCTTTCGGCAACGAAACGGAGTATCGACCGTCGGATTCCCTACGAACTGACTTCCGGAAAATGTCCTCACATTTACTTTCCTCCAACGAAAGAACCTTGGAACTGCCAATCTCTTCACTAGCCCAAAACCGTGCGACTAGCTCCTGCTTAAGCCTTGACTTGGATTTGTCAGGCCTCCGCAGACCACCCAACCGAACACTGATTCGTTGAGTGTTGGCAATTGATCTCCGAGGGGAATTCTTCGACCAGTTTCGAAGACATCGAAAAAGAATTCGATGCCCAACACCATGTCCACTGAGCTTGGATTGAAAAAGGTGGGATCCGCCAGGATGATCCCGTTAGGCACCGTCCAGCCTTGTGTATTCACCTTCGCCGTAGGTATATTTACCGTAACCTTTGAGAGCACGAGGAAATTCATGTTCTGCGAGAAAGCCGTAGTTCGCGAACGAACCATCGTGGTAATCTGGTACTTAACCTTTGTAGCCGCGTGACCAATACCGTGCACAGAAATATCTACTTTCTCTCGATGTGTCCTGAGCCGTTGACTCAACCGTTCAGCGATGAAATTACTCTCGGAGCCGGAATCCAACAGAGCACGAACCGGGAACTGACTACCCTCATCATCTTCCACGATAACGACCGCAGTAGCCAGCAAAACCTTGGAGGAGAACTGTTGAGTGGACCCAGAGACTGTTATTTCGGTGGCTGCCATGTTGACCACCTGGGAGACCCATTGGGGTGTTAGAAAGCAGTCACGCTTACCACTACACCACCGGCGCTGGCTCGACTATAGTTCGTCGGATCGTCGGTGGTACTACACTATGTTTGCTTTGATTCGCTATGAAAGTTTGACAGATAAAATGAGGGGTTCGTGGATTTTCCTATGTTTCGAGGGGTGCATCGATTAGCTTGGGACCGAAGATAGTACCAGAGCTGAGCCAAAAAGGTGAGCACGTTTCTTCGGGACCTTCTAGTCTTAAAGTTACCTCTATGCGAGCCTCTGGAAGCAACGCATAGAAAAATTAGCAAATACACAAATCTTTCTTCTGAGGATGTAATCTTTGCTATCCAATTCGTTCAAAGCAATTACCTTTGAGCGGCAGATGACGCGATTGTACCTGTCTCATGGCGGTCGTACGAGGAAATGGAAGAGTTGCCAGTCTTCTTGATATGTTGTCTTCGATTTATCTCAATATCCCCAAAGAACATAATTATTTCTGTATTTTTTACTTTAGGGATCGTCCATTAATTATGTCACTCTTTTAGAAGGGATGGATTTTATTGGAAACTGTGACGAGCCATACAAAAAAAAAGGTCCATACAAATGTGACGAAGGGGGGGGGGGGGTTGTAAATGAGCCCAATTTGCGTAACATAATTGATGAACCTTGCCTTACTGCAAAAATTAAGTTTTACAGATCAAAACCGTAAAAATATTTACCGAACACCAAATCAGTGCCAACATTTCAAAGGGGCGTAATTGCTTTTATAAACAATGGCTTTTGCCGTCGATTTCTCGCAAATAAAAGCCCACCCCTCCAAATTACCAATGCTAGCTGGGACAGGAAACATTCTTCTACCTGCTGATGTCATTCATTTTCATGAGTGAGCTTTCATTCGCAAGAAATCGAAGACGAAAGTCATTGTTTACAAATGCAATTACGCCCCTTTGAAATGTTGGCACTGAAATCAAGAATTTGGTGTTTACGATTCTGAACGCTATAAACATTTTGTATTTCATTGTAATGTTATGGAAAACAAATTGGGTTCCTCGGACGCCAATTTCTTCGCGGGGGGCTTTCAACATTGTATTCCGTCCCTCTGCTCGTTCTTCTGGCTACGTACCTGCGTTAGCTTGAGACCCATTCTATAGTGTCCATTGGTGCGCCCCTTGGAACCCGAACTGTCAAAAACAGCTGTACATGATAAACAAAGCGAAGCCAGCGAAGCAGAACGAACGGAACCAGTAAAACGCCTTTGTTATCGCGGTAGCGGATCATTGACCCCTTTGTGTTTTGTTATCAGATATCAGTCTGTAACGGTGTCGAACGTAATCGAATTCTGTGGTTGGAAGATTATCGTCATCAGTTTGCTCACAGTTTCGGTTTCACTTTATCAACTGAATGTTCCAATCCTAATTTACTAGACCAACACCAAGCAGTGTATCACTTTTCGAAACCGGAAATCGGCCTATCATCTAAATTTGTTTACCTTTCTTCTCTCTCTCCTTCCAGACCGCCCGTTCCGAATGCAATCAACGAACGACGACACTTGAAGCAGCGATAACAGCATCCACAGGCCGGTCGAGATAATCCGCTCTATGCAGAAGAACCGTGGCAAAAGCTAACATTTATCAAGAAAACGACCCTCGCACCGAGATTCATCCTGGAGCTACGGCGACGGCAGCACTATTTTCTTCTATCGGAACAGGACAACGTGCATCAACGACGACGACGACGGCGACGATGGACCACCAGGAGCGCCCTTGTAGGAGACGAGGGCGGCCGGCCGATGCAACGGTAGTGCTACGTCCCCTGTGGACGGTCATAATTGCGGTGCTGTTCCTTGCCGGATCGATACACGGGAACACCGAAAAAGATTTCACACAACAGTGCAACAAATGTCGCTGCAGTTGGAAAAGTGGCAAGCGGAATGCGGACTGCACCAATCAGGGACTGGGACTGATTCCGGGAGATTTGAGCTCCGAGCTGCAGGTGGGTGGCGTTCTCTAATCTAACTAAACTTCATTACCAACCGTGTTATAGAAACAAAAATTATCATTTTGATTTCCTTTTCCCATTCCAGGTACTGGACCTGTCCCAAAATCGAATAGGGGAGATTCGGGCCCACGAGCTGATGGAAGCCCATCAGCAAAACTTGCACAAACTGTACATCAAGAATAGCACCATCGAAAGTGTGCATCGGGACTCGTTCCGAAATCTAACGATCCTGATTGAGTTGGATCTGTCCAACAACAGACTGAAACGACTGGACCCGGGCCTGTTCGACGATCTGAAAAAGCTACGAGTCATCATGTTGAACCACAACCAAATCGAACGGCTGGAGAATAACCTGTTTCAGAATTTGAAATTCCTGACCAAGATCGAGCTGAACCACAATCTGATCTTTCGGATAGCGCTGCACAGTTTCACGAACGTTCCGGCGCTGTCACAGATCGAGCTGGACTTCAATCGGCTGCAGATCCTGCGCAAGGAAACGTTCATCAATTTGGAAAAACTGACCAGTTTGTCACTGACAAACAATCCGTGGAATTGCAGCTGTGCCCTGCGGAATTTTAGTGAATTCGTCATGACCCACAGTCTGTACCGATCGCCCACCACCTGTGCACAGCCACCGCTGCTACAAGGAAAGGAGTGGAACGATATCCACCTGGATGAATTCGCCTGTCGTCCACAAATTATCGAAAATCGACTAATCTACCCTAGCGATGGGGAAAATGCTACCTTTACGTGTAAGGTAACGGGACTGCCCCTGCCGAAGGTGGATTGGTTGTTCCACAAACGACCCATCCCGAAAGTAGACAAACGCTGGAGCGTAACGTACGCCGTTCGGACGAATGGCAAAGATACGAACGAGATTCTGGTCTCCGAGCTGACAATCGTGGGGGTCAAGTCTTCGGACAGGGGGTCCTTCGTTTGCAAGGCGACCAACCCGGGTGGGACGGATGAGAGTGAGCAATTTTTCGATCTGAAGAAAGAACCGCCCAAAGTGGCACCGAACCGAACGAACGACATACTGTGGATTGTACTATTTGTGGTGCTAGCGATACTGATTGTGTTGATTCTGGTGATATTGGTACTGTGCTGTGTTTGCCGCAAGACGAGAAGATTCAAGAAGAATTCCTCAATCAGCGAGAACGGACTGATGAATTCCAAGATGGACAAGTCGGCGGACGGGTCGGTCCTGGACGGCGGTTCGGTGATAATGGAGATGCAGAAGAGCTTGCTAACGGAGGTGAATCCGGTGGAGAAACCGCCGAGGAGGGCCGACATCGAAGCGAACGACAAGACCGACTACGACGAAGGGCACGAGGTCAAGAAGACGCTACTGGAGGAGACGGGATTTGGTGAGTAACGTTTTGGATGTTATTTTGATGACATTTACCGGACATTGCGCGATTTGTTTGGAATATCTGGATATGGGAGTTTTACCGATACCACCCGAGAAAATAGCCCAACAATTTCAGTTGGTTGATGGGTTGGACCAATGTTCTGTAAATGGTTCTCTCAAAACTAATCATTCTGAGGGACAGCTGATTAAAAAAAAAAAGATGCGACTTTGATGTTGACCTGTGGACTTATCGATAAATCAGTGGCGTCCCGTAAGCTCTTTTTTTACCTTTGTACAAAATTTTCAAAACCAGCTTTAATGGGAAGCTTACCGCCCGCAGCAGAAAATACGTTTTGAATTTTTGATTTGCATTAAACTTTGAAAAATTGTTTGTTATGATTTTCATTTTTGCTAAAATTTGGCCAAGTTGGAAATTGTAAATTTTTTTAAATGGCGTCCTGAGATTTTTATCAAAAAATTGTAGAACCGAAACGACACTTCCGATCAAAATGACGTGTAATAGCGAATTTGTTTATTATTCAGTTCCAACCTGGATCGGGTATCAAGATCGGCTCTGCTTGTTTTCTAACAAACGTCAGTTTGATCGTTTGTTTTTCAAACCTACCTCAGGTTCAGGTTCTCACTGACAAAAAGTTCGGTTCCACACGGTTTCACCAATAATAAACAAATTCGCAATAAGACAGAGTTGTTGAGAAAAATAATGTTTTTTTTTTTCTGGGAAAAACTACAAGGAACAGCCCTATAGAGATCTCCAAGCACAATCTCACGAACACTAAAATCCCACATCCATATATAAAAATTAAGAAGAAGAAAAACCAAAAAGGTATCGCGATATCACAATTACTTAAAAAGGTAGCGCGCGGTCTCACGCACACTTTTGTGTATTTGGAAAACTCTATAGGGTTGTACGCAATGGTGACGTAGAACTACGTGGTCTTATATAATAAACACAGACAAACAGACATAACACTCGCAAGTTGTTCATCGAACAAGCATTTAACGGTCAATTTAAAAGTATCGTAGTTGGTAGTACCGCCACCTGTGGCGCGCATATTCATTTCCCTTGAGTTTGACGTTTACACACTACCACCATCTGTTCAGCGTAGTGCCCACCACAGTGTACTCAACAGATGGCGGTAATGTTTTAGCGACGATGCTTTGCAGTGAGAAATATTCAATGTGTTATGTCTGTTTGTCTGTGTAATAAATGTCAACTGCAGTAGGAGCTTGTGTTTTGTGTAGGAATATGAATTTGAGCGGGGTTATCTCTGTTTATACTCTTTAGTATGACTATGATTGCTCTGAAAAGAACCTTTTCGTATGAATTTTAGTTGGGACATGTTCAGAAATTTATCTCGAAGTCGAAGTTACTACAGGCTTATAGCACAAACGAAGTGTGCCTCTAGCTTTTAAGAGATGATGATGACGTGTAGGCAGCTAGATCAGCAAATCGGACCGGAAAATCCCATATTCTTCGGTTCAATGATTGGGTACTCGCAAGAGTCTCGGCCCGTCTGATTTCGGACAGGGGTTGAACTTATGTCTGCGACAGGTTGGAACGCCGCAGAATATCAGTGTCCATCCAGCTAAAGCTTCTCCCCTTTTTAGTTTTTCTCGTTAAACTCCTTCTCTCAACAATTTGGTAAATCTTAGCCTTTAGCAGAAAGACGCTTAACACTTTTTTCGGCAAATTTATGATCTTGTTTCATGGTTCTTCTCTATGCCTGTTCAGATAAATTAGTACTTTTAATAATTTTCTCTACTGCGTTGAACATTCGATAAATATTTAGGCTTGATAAATTGAACCATTGGCGATTTTTTTTTAACTTTTGGTTAAAATTTGACAGATTGAAAGTTATCGATGAATCCTGCTAACCGAGCATGGTTATTTCTGACAGACAAGAAGTTAAATTTTGACAACCGTGAGTCGAAAACCGGTCGATCAACAGCCAGTGATGCCACATATACAGATTTATCTGTAATCATACAGATTTTTTTTTCAATATTTTGATACAGATATCTGTATATACAGATCACCGATTTTTGAAAAATATACAGATTTTTCAGATTTTTTCAAATAAAGGGAATATGTTTTGCATTATTTATTTTTTATATATATTAATTCCGATATATAATCGTTTCTTCCTTTTGAGCAGCTTGAATTCAATCTGAGCATCAAACTCAAATTGTATTTTTCACTAAGTAAATTATTATTGTTTTAGCTTCAGATGGACTTGGAATCTTTCGAATGGACTTCTGCTGTTCAGATGTTCTGATTTCTCGTTGGAAGGAATATTAGTTTCCCTTTCTATTCCCCCTTCAGATACGAAGTTAATTAAATATATTTTGTCCACTCGGTAAACAAGTCATTTTAGAAAACCCCCAAAGTGGTTGATTACACCTTGTGAGTCGAAGAAGTTACTGGATATTTGTATATTTAAAAACGTAATTATAGAAATAAAGAATATTGCATACAATTCGACTAAACTTCCTGTAAAAGTTCTGTGTTATGTCCAATGTCCAGATAAAGGTTTGCGTAATCAGAGACATAAATAAAACAAATTCTAGGGAATTGTGATAGTTACTTCATTAAGGAAATCTTCAGTCGGAAAAAGATTTGTCTCTTACAACTGGTACTTAATGTTTTGTATATTCAGACAGTAGAAGAGATACAAAACACTACAAAAAATCAAGATTATAGGATTTCAAGATTTTTGCAGCAAACTTTAGTAAGTTTTCATGATTCTAAACATTGAGCAAACTCCTTCTGAACTATGAATTTACTCAATGGAGATTTACGTAAATTCGCACTGAGACCATAATATAGAAATTCTACAGATTTTTTCACAGATTTTTGTCAGCCAGATGCAGATTAAGGCTGTGAACCATTTGCCGAGTTAAATTTAACTCGTGGTTAAAAGAGACATTTCGAAAGTTATTCTCTATGTTCGAAAATCCCTGTGCTGTCGATAGAACGGTTTTCGAGAAGAACTCAACCACGATTGTCAAAATTTAACTTCTTGTCTGTCAGAAATAACCACGCTCGGATAGCAGGGTTTTACAATAACTTTCCATCTGTCAACTTTTAACCAAAAGTTAAAAAAATCCACCAAATGGTTCAGAGCCTAAAAAGATTTTTGCGATGAAAATACAGATTGTCCTTCGAAAAAATGTGGCATCACTGTCGACAGCACGGGGATTTTCGAACATAGAAAATAACTTTCGAAATGTCACTTTTAACCACGAGTTAAATTTAACTCGGCAAATGGTTCACAGCCTTAATCCAGAGTTCGAAATTTTCGCCTACTTGAGAAGAGAAACGTCATTTTTCACCTGCTAGGAGAAATAGATGAGAATGTGAGAAGCGAGAGAATATCATACGCTCACAGCAGTTTTCGCGAGAAAAGCAACAGCGATTTATTTTTTTCGGAGAGCACGAGCGGCAGATAAAACGTTTCTTTTTCAGTGAATTCTTGATACCGATAACGATTTTTCACTTCATTCATACCCCTGAAAATTCACTTTCCGCATGCGAACGATGATCTGAAATTAAGAACCAAAACAACAGTTAGGGTACATCCATAAATTACGTAGAATCTGAGGAGTGATGGAGAGGTGGTTTCAACATTTGTAACGGACCATGCATAAGGTATAAAAAAACGCCACGAAGGGGGAGGAGAAGGTCTAAAATTGGTAAGAAAATTGAATCGTCATTTATGGATGACCCTTATGATTTGACAGAAGGTATAAAAAGGAAATCATAAAAAAATCTGCCTGACTGTTTGAAACTATAGAGCCGATAGATAAACGGAGGAAAAGTATAATGTAGCCAAACGAACTGTCAGTTAGTGTAGCCAAACGAGCATAACGTCATCATGGTGTTGTTTGAGGGAGAAGTATTGTAATATTATGAACACAAAACGCTTTCCACACTCCACATTCCGATTTATTTCGTGGACAACGGAAGAAGAAACGATAAAGCAAACCATTCCTCGAGACATTGTTGCAAAGATTTGCTTTGCATTTCATTTTGAACTTTTACGCACGAAACAAAACAAAACTGCACAACGAAGAGCTCTATGATGGGATGAACTTTTTTCACGGATGCCAGTAAGATCATTTATTTTTCATGGTTGCCGAAACAACTTTTTGTGCCTCCGCTTATCTATGGAATCTATAGTATCTATAGTTGAAACCTATGAAATGCAAACAGGTGAGGCTATGTGAAATCGTTGTCCCTTTCGTTCTGCCGCTGTTTAAATGGATAACACAGTATGATGTCACGCTCCGTCAACCATTTAATAAGCGGAAGAACAAAAGAGACGGCGAGCCTCAACTGTTTACATCACATTGGGTTGGAGCCGAACAATTTAGGGTGGTGTTTTTTTCTCTCTTGGTAGTTTTCAGAGCTAAATGGGTGATGAAAAAGTATTTTCGTTGGGTTTGAAGAGAGATATTTTCGGATTATGTATGAGAGAGGATCATGAATTATCGGTAAAAAAGGAGAGATGAAAATTTGAACGGTTCACAACTCACCGAAAAGTAGCTTGAGTGAGGAAATGCTTATCGTGCAGCTAAGTGAGAATTTCTATCTCTGAATCGAATAGCAGGAAAAATCTTTACGATTAATCGTTAATCGAATAATTGAACTTTTAGGCATCTCTAGAGAATAATGTAATTTCATGTTTTTTGGTGGTCCTTCGAAATTGACCACCTTGTCAAGCAGTTTTGGCGTGACTTTCTACCAGCGATTTCACAAAACTGGACCAACTAATTTCTATTTTTTTTTATGAAACGCGCAAATGTTGGCAACTTTTCTCGTCGTTCTAGAAGAAAAAATCTTAAAATAACGTCATTTTAACTGCTCGACTGAAGTGGTTAATTGTCGAATAGCGTATCAACCAAAGTGGGAAATAGGGTTAACTACCCCATTTCCGGCCTATTAAGCACAACCCGCACTTAGTCTTTCTTAATCTAGCGCAGCTTAGCACCAAA